TTTCTCACACTGAAAAGGCAACGTCAACTAAGTTTTCCTGCAAGCTTTATATATAACGTTGTACACGAGGCGTAGGCACACAAAGTGAAGTTTCCTGCCGCCAGCACGTATCTCTCGGACAGATTGCGTTCGATAGGCAACATAGACGCGCGAACACACGGAAGTTGACGGAACATTCTCGCCCACCGTATGTTTGTTACTAGGTAACCAACAACATCGCACGAACACACGTCGTGATGGAGAAGGGAAGAAAGCTCGTCTAACATTTTTAGGCTAGAACATTTAATATATAGCCCATCGTATACATTATTATTGATGCAGTCAAAAACTCTACAACTACTTTGCAACCAGGCCAGAAGCTTTGGCTCAGTTTGGCTTGCTTGCATTACCTGAAACTATAAGGGAAATGTTAGTGGGTATGGGAAGGAATGAAGATGTATTTCTTCATTTTATTGTAAATTAAATATTATACTGTGTTAATAGTTACATTAAAGGGTTAGTTCACCCAAAAATGAAAATTCTGTCAGTATTTACTCACCCTCATGTTGTTCCAACCCCGTAAGACCTTCGTTCATCTTCGGAAAACAAAATTAAGATATTAAGATCGCTCCTGCATACTAGTCCATAGGCTTCTTGAGGGAATGACTCTTGCTGGCATCGAAAAGTCATTAAAGGACATCGTTAAAATAGTCCAAGTGACTACAGTGGCTCAATTTTAACTTTATCAAACGACGAGAACACTTTTTGTGCGCAAAAACAAACAAAAATAATGACTTTATTTCAACTATTCACTTCCTTCTCCATGGGCCTGTAGTCAGTTAACGTAGTGTGATAGCGTAGAGCTACGTCACACGTAGGCTCACTATTGGCCGACACTGGTCATGTGTGTGATGCGTGTGACGTACAATAACAGAAGCTTACGTTATTAAACTAGTAACCTGACTCGCGCAGAGGGAGAAATAAACGAATAGTTGAAATAAAGTCGTTATTTTTGTTGTTTTGCGCACAAAAAGTGTTCTCGTCGTTTGATAAACTTAAGATTGAGCCACTGTAGTCACTTGGACTATTTTAACGATTTCTTTAATGACTTTTCGAGGCCAGCAAGTCATTCCCTCAAGAAGCCTATGGACTAGTATACAGGAGTGATCTTAATATCTTAAATATCTTAATTTGTGTTGCGAAGATGAACGAAGGTCTTACGGGGTTGGAACAACATGAGGGTGAGTAAATACTGACAAAATTTTCATTTTTGGATGAACTAACCCTTTAAGGTTACATGTATTAAAGCACAGTGCTCTAAGTAATATTTTATATACTGTCAAAATATACATTAATCATTGCATTTGTATTTTTCAAAGATGTCAAGGAAAAAGCAAAAAGATATTGATGTACACACACACACACACCTTAATATTCGAATATTTGTTCAAAATGTCCCACCACACAATAAATCATTATACCATTTGAACTAGACACATTCAAAACGCAAAAAAGATTTGTTTTTCCAAACTGTTTGGGGCAATTTGTTATATTTTTGTATTTCTTGTGTTTTTTGTATTAATATAACATTAAAGAGTAGGTTATATTTGATGTAATGAATTGCTCTGTCATTTATGAGATTTACCAATGGGTGGGGGCGGGGCTTAATTAATTAGGGGCTCCTCCCCTAACCGCATGTGATCTCACTCCAAGCTTTTGATAAAACTTGAGAAACCTGGGGAGGTTTTTCTGGGAATTTCTCTTTCATATCTGTTTCGAGGTCTTGAAAAATTGTGACAATTTTGTCTTTTATGAGTTTAATTAACGTTTTCCATCTAGACATCTTTAAAGAATGATCATGTGACATTTACGTAAGCCAGGTGACTTGTAAATGTGAAAAAAAAAACTGTTACCATTGCAGTTTTGCAAAATATTCCTTTTTCAAATTGCCTGAAAAAATACTTCTTGCGAGCGTAAAAAGATTTTTCGCGAAATTGACATGTTCAATTTGGTGCATTTTAAATTCGAAATTTCAATTTGCGTAATTTGTCGGGTAATGGAAACACAGCTAATAACACTTTGACACATGCAGTCATGAAATCTGTGACTCTCATGCATGCAACATTAACTGAAAAAAAAAACATCTATAATGAAAAATAAACTTAATTCAGTATATGAAGAGTTCAGATGCAAAAGCCTCTAAGTGCCATTTGAAATTTTCTTCTAGAATGATCATTTTTATCAAGCTTGTATATTTAAGTTCAGTAATTTCAGTTAAGTTGCAATGAGGATTACCTATTAATTGTTATTTAAGTGAAATTACTGAACTTGAATATATAAGCTTGATAAAAATGATCATTTTAGAAGAAAATTTCAAATGGCATTTAGAGGCTTTAGCATCTGAACTCTTCATATATACTCTCTGAAAACAAATCTCATTTTTGTATGCAGTTCTGCTTCTAAAGTAAATGTATCTTTCATTTTTGTCTTAATTTCACTTAATATTTGCATTCACAACGAATAAATGTACCTAATTGATGTATTCTCTAAAAATACATTGAAATAAATTATGCAATTTTGCTTTTCAAGAAAAAAAAATGTATGCAGTGTAAGTCATCTCTCTCTCTCCCTCTCTGATGATAAGGTGTAATTCATCAGTCGTCAGCTGTAGACGCAAATAAATTCTGTCAGCTCATTCTCAGGTTTTAAGAGGAACGAGATTAAAACATTTTTGGCCTTCACTGAAGGTTGACAGATTTTCTGTTGGTCTCACTGCTGACATAAAGTCTCATGTCGAGTGTAAAGATAAAACTGGCAGAATTCACATGATTATTCCAGCGGAAAGAGTGGGCCACTGATGCTCAAAACGTACAATTAGTGAGGAGTCACCTGGGTCGCTTTACTCTCTTTCTTTTCATGTCAGTCGTTGTGTCTGCAGCCCTATAGTGCAAACTGAACCCAGAAGTGGCTCTCACATTAGGAAACGATGTCAAGAGGTGACGACAGCTAGAGGCGATAAGATACCTATTCTAGCCGCCGTGATGACAAAAGTAAACCGGTTTCAGCTGACATACTCTGCCCTGACACACGGGATGGAATGACACTAGCGAAATGGCAGAAACAGCATTGTGTTTTTATTTTTTTAGTTTTTTTGGAAGAAGATGATTTTAGGGGTAATCTAATCTTGCAGATAATGTAATATTAATGAAATAAAAGACCACTTAACTGTACTATTAAGTATGCTTTCATGCTTTCTAAACGCAAGGTAAACTTTTAAAAATGCCAACATCACCAACCATAAAATGTGCATAAGCACGCAGTCCATGTTGAGAAGAGAAAGAGCTGTTGTCAAGCACACTTGTGAGTCAGCTCAAACTATAGCATACGTATTTTCACATGCAATAGAAAGTCACTCTGTCTCAGTTCCTATACAAGCGATTTATACCCTGACAGAATATGCTAATTAAAGATAGTTAACACCACATAAATTCATCAACTGACCATTCAGAGATGTCCTGTTGCATTCTACATGTTGTCACTTCTTCTTAGTCTCTCCATCTTTGGTTTAAACATAAAAGGCAGAACAGTTTCTGACATTTTAGCATGTGTCTTCTTGAGGTAATGGGAGCTGCTCAAACACACACTCTTGAAGCTCCGCCCCCTGTGTCGGGAGCTGCAGCTCATTTGCATTTAAAGGGACAGACCCTGAACAACCCTGAAAAATTGACAACTTTAACATATAAAAATATATGTGGGGTATTTTGTGCTAAAACTTCACATACACACTCAGGGGACGTAAGAGATTTATTTTACATTTTGTGAAAGGGGCATTATACCACCCTTTTAAGTCTACGTGTTCAGCTAACAGCAAAAGACTTTTCAGACTGTTCAAAGGGCTTTAAACGACACCAGACGATGAATAAGGGTCTTATCAAGCGAAACGATCGCTCATTTAAAAAAAAAAAAGATAACAAAGTTTAAATTTTATAAGCTCAAATGGTCTGTTCTGTGATGTGCGTTCGTGACTCTCCTGTTCAAACTCGATTATCAAAATGAACGAATCTTTTTTCGTGTCATTTGTTTCATTCAACGAACGAAATGAACAAATTGACTCGGGAAAAGATTCGTTTCACTTAATACGACCCTTATTCATCGTATGGAATCGTTTTAAGCCCTTTTGAACAGTTTGCACTGAAACTGTCTTTTGGACCATGAACCGTTTGGTTCCCAATGAAGTCCATTATATGGAGAAAAATCCTGGAATGTTTTCATCAAAAACTTTAATTTCTTTTCGACTGAAGAAAGAAAGACATCTTGGATGACATGAGGGTGAGTAAATTATCAGCAAATTTTTTTTTAAAAAGTGAACTACTCCTTTAAGTGAGTGATGGTTGCCCACTGAAAGTAGAAGACTGAAATAATTTAGATTACATATAACATAATTCAACTTATTGATAAATTGGGAAATTACTTTCATAACATTGCTGAAATTAATACTTAATTTCACACAATATTAGCATAAAATAATTGGACAATTGATAAAGGAAAAAAAAAAGATTGGTGGAAATAACGCAATAAGGAACAAGAAAATGAAAATATGCTTTCTATTAAAGGCTATAGCAGACAATCCACTAAATGCATCATTAGTCCAGAGCATGTGTAAAAGCAATTCATCACGTTTCTTAGGTTTATTCTTTCTGGGGTAAATATTTCTCAGTTTTCAGCTGATTAGTATTCTTTCACCAATCACTTTAATCCAAAGAGCAGAGCAGCTAATTAAGCAGACGGAAGGGCTCGGTTAAAGACAGAATGCTGAGAAGCAATACGGCGCTAATAAGTAAGACTATAAGCCCCACACTTAGAACTAGCTAGTCCAACACAAGAGAAAACTAAAAGGAAATGAATGTTGTTGCCGCAGCCTAAATTTGTTCCAGTCTCACAGGAAGTAGTTATACCAATGCTTCTCAAACATAATACAACCAACAAACACGCTAAGCGATTTGTGCTGTGTGTAAACCTACCGTTATTGCTGTTGTCATCTACCAGTATGATCTCTTTGAGCAGGTGGAGGGGGGTTCGGTTCATAGCCGAATGGATGGAGCGTAGGATGACTGAGAGCGCCTCATTCACAAAGATGAAGACTATGCTAACCTGCGGGAGGTTGGACGGGTAAGACATGTTTTTGCACCTGCGGGAACAGATGAAACAAACAAAAAAATGTTAATATGTGAAGGCATTTCCAAGAACAGGGAACGATTGGTGTCATGTTAGTTTTTAAAACACAAACCCCGTGGAAGATATTATAATAATAATAATATATTTTATTTGTAAAGCACTTTTTTTATAGTTAAAAACAATCCCAAAGTGCTACAGATTATAAACAAAGATAAAAACCGGGAAGAAAAATTAAAAAGTTAAAAAGCAGAAGGTAAAAAATGCTTGCTTAAAAAGTAGGGTTTTTAGTCCTTTCTTAAAAAAGGACTAAAAAAGGACTAAAATGATATTTAATAAAGCATTGCTAAATGAACCAAGCTAGTTTTAAATACACCAAATGTATTTGTTGCCACTTGCCAGTCTCTCTTGGAGGTCTTGACTTTTCTGAAATGTATCCAATTAAAATTCAAATAAATCATTGAATTAATTTGATCATGCCTATCCGTTCAACCCTTAGATATTTTAACTGAGGGTAACATGATCAATAATTTTAATCATATAAATAATATTCATTTATTTATGGGAAATATGTTTCTCAATAAGTACAATCCAGTATATTGGTCCCAATTTACCCGTCTTCTTAAAGGGATAGATTACCCAAAAAATAACTCGAAGATTTACACACCCCTTAAGCCATCCTAGGTATAACATTCTTTATTAAGACAAATACAATCGGAGTTACATTAAAACATTTCCTGGCTAATCCAGGCTTCGTTACACAAACGCATGGAGTCATTTGGATTAATTTTAAAATGGATGGATGCACTTTTTGGGGGCTTAAAGGGAAATAGGCTCATTTTACAACTCCCCCAGAGTTAAACAGTTGAGTTTCACCGTTTTCAAATCCATTCAGCCGATTTTCTGATAGTTAAAAGAATATCAGTAACCAGACAGTATCTGGTCTCATTGACTTCCATAGTAGGAAAAAAATATACTATGGAAGTCAATGAGACCAGAAACTGTCTGTTTAATATTCTTCTAAATATCAGAAAATCGGCTGAATGGATTCAAAAATGGTAAAACTCAACTGTTTAACTCTGGGGGAGTGGTAAAATGAGCCCATTTCCAAAAAAAAGTGGAGTATCCCTTTAAAATTTTCACCAGCCATTCACTCCCATTATAAAGCTTGGAAATTAAATTAAATAATAATAAATAAATAAATAAATTCAATATAACTCAGATTGTATTTGTCTGAAAGAAGAATGTCTTACACACCTATGATGGCTACAGAGTGATTAAATTATGGGCTAATTTTCATTTTTGGGTGAACTATCCCTTTAAATTTGATAAGTGTTGTGTATTTAATTGTTGTTCATTGAAAAATGATTGCTAGAAAATCACAAAATCTCACAAATCAGCATTTGAAACTGTATTTAGACGTCCCAAATTTTAGAGAGAGTTGCAGAACTACAAACCTCATGCAAAATTGATTTTAAAAATAATAAATAAAACAGCCCATATAATATTTAGTTTGACCTCCTGAGGTTTTTATCCCTTTGCTGACCAGTTTCTGGCCCTATTCTGTTTTCTCAACGTGGGAAAAGAAATACAAATGAAAATGACAAAAGGCAATTAGAAAAACAAGACCTTTTTGGTAAATATGGAGGTCTTTTACAACGATAGGTGATGTTTTGATGTTCTTGGCAGACTGGAGTTTATAACAAGTGGGTTTTCAACGTTTTCAGACCCAGGTACTCGATAGCAATTTGGCACCACGGAGAGAAAAGAACAGATGTGATCAGATGTGAAGGAGTTCTTTATGTTGCTGCCAGCAAGACACATCCAGTAATTACAGGCTATGGAGTAATTATGTTTTTCCACACACACCTCTTTCAAAGCCTGTCAAAATAGAGTCGGTTGGAGTAAACTGTATTCAACCCATAACAGACTGGAAAATACAGTTACAGTTCACAAACAGAAATTGTACATACAAAGTACACTCTCAGAAAAAAAGGTACAAAAGCGGTCACTGGGGCTGTACCTTTTCAAAAGGTACACTTTTGTGCCCAAAGGCTGCACATTGGTACCTTAGTGGTACATATTAGCACCTGAAATGTACATATTAACACCTAAAATGTACATATTAGTACCTAAATGTACATATTACCACCTAAAATGTACATATCAGCTCATGAAATGGACATATTACCACCTAAAATGTACACATTAGCACCTAAAATGTACATATTAACACTTAAAATGTACATATTAGCACCTAAAATGTACTTATTAACACCTAAAATGTACTTATTAGCACTTAAAATCTACATAATAGCACCCAACATTTACATATTACCACCTAATGGACATATTACCACCTAAATGTACATACTAGCTCCTGAAATGGACATATTAGCACCTAAAATGTACATATCAGCACCTAAAATGTATATTAACACTTAAAATGGACATATTAGCACGTGAAATGTACTTATTAGCACCTAAAATGGACACATTAACACCTAAAATGTACATATTAGCACCTAAAATGGACAAAAGTGTACCTTTTGAAAAGGTACAGCCCCAGTGACCGCTTTTGTACCTTTTTTTCTGAGAGTGTAGTGGCCAAAAGTGATGTCCAGACTAGGAATTTTTACATCTTCACCTTTTATTTAAATAAATATAGATTTTGTAAGCATATTGCATAGCTGTATCACATACAGACTTAGACACAATGACAAAAAAGAGATGGATCAGTTCAAACTGGTTAGTTTATTAGTGAAGCAGCAGGTAAGATGATCAATATACCGTAGAGAGAAAAGCAGCACTGGTAGTCTAGATAGTGATGTTGATCGTGTCCTACAGGTTTACTGATCACACACAGGGAGGAGATGAGGAATGACAGGACCGCGGTTACAACTATATCACATGACATCCTAGCATGTAATTAGCAAGTGAGACTGTTGAATAAGACGAGGCCAGAGAAAGTGTTTGCTATAGTGCTGGTGATGAGGGCATATGTGTGTCAGCCCTGCTGAAAAATCCAGCTAAAACCAGCCAAGGCTGGTTGGCTGGTTTTGGCTGGTCTCCCAGCCTGGTTATAGTTGGTTTATCAGGCTGGTTTTTAGAGGGGTTTTGAACACTTTTTCAGCTGGTCAGGCTGGTCTTAGCTGGTCAAGTTGGTTTTAGCTGGTCAGGCTGGTCTTAGCTGGTCAGGCTGGGAGACCACTCTCACAGGGGTACACTCTCAGAAAAAAAGGTACAAAAGCTGTCACTGGGGCTGTACCTTTTCAAAAGGTAAACTTTTGTCCATTTCAGGTGCTAATATGTACATTTCATGTGTTAATACATACATTTCAGATGCTAATCTGTACATTCAGGTGCTTTCAGGTGCTAATATGTACATTTCATGTGTTAATATATACATTTCAGATGCTAATCTGTACATTCAGGTGCTTTCAGGTGCTAATCTGTACATTTTAGGTGCTAATATGTACATTTTAGGTGCTAATAAGTACATTTAGGTGTTAATATGTACATTTAAGGTGCTAATATATAAATTTTAGGTGCTAATATGTCCATTTCAGGAGCTAATATGTCCATTTCAGGAGCTAATATGTCCATTTCAGGTGCTAATATGTACATTTTAGGTAATAACATACACATTTTAGGTGCTAATATGTACATTTTAGGTGCTGATATGTACATTTCAGGTGCTATTTCAGGTGCTAATATGTCCATTTCAGGTGCTAATATGTCAATTTCAGGTGCTAATATGTACATTTTAGGTTCTAATATGTACATTTTAGGTGCTGATATGTACATTTTAGGTACTAATATGTACATTTTAGGTGTTAATATGCACATTTTAGGTGCTGATATGTACATTTCAGGTGCTAATATGTACATTTTAGGAGCTAATTTCAGGTGCTAATATGTACATTTCAGGTGCTAATTTCAGGTGCTAATATGTACATTTTAGGTGCTAATATGTACCACTAAGGTACCAATATGCAGCCTTAAGGTACAAAAGTGTACATTTTAAAAAAAGGTACAGCCCCCGTGGCAGCTATTGTACCTTTTTTTCAGAGAGTGTAGACCTAAAACCAATCAGAGTGATGAAGGAGATGACGTCCCAGATAGTAAACTGACATTGAATCAACGTGGAAACATGACATCGAAACAACGTTGATCTGACATTGTTTTGCTCATCTAATTAACGTTGAACCAACGTCAGACGCGTCATTCTTTCAAAACTAACGGAAAATCAACTTGAAATCAACGCGTTGTTTCAACGTTATGAAAGCAAACCAATTTTCGATTTTCATTTAGCTTTGAAGAATGCCGCGTCTGACGGTTCAACGTTAATTCGATGAGCAAAATCAACGTTGTTTCAATGTCATGAGAGACGTCGTTTCCACGTTGATGTCAGTTTGCTGTCTGGGGTATGCGGAGGCCGGCGGAGAAACAACTCCGAGTGTTTGCTAGGTGTTTAACAAAAAGGAAATGTTCAAATCACTTAAAACAGACGCGATAGCTGATTTGAACGAGCGATGTTCGACGGCGGCATCCATCTGTAATGTAGGCTACAAAATCTGCTTCAAAATCCAAGCTCTGTCGTCATCATATAAAGCCCGCCCCAACACTTCTGATTGGTGCCGCGATTTCGAGGGATTGGGCTTGAACGAGCTCTTTGCCAGACTAACTTTCAGAGCAAATCTAAATTTGCCTGAAGTTGTCTGGGTTTTCCCAGACTACTGTAAAGCAGTTTGGTTTAAAGCAATCTATTGTATAAAGTGCTATAAAATGAATGTGATGACTGACTGCAATACACTCACCCATTAGGCCTGTAGTCTGGGATGGGTCTGTCCATGGAGAGGCGGTCGCTGAGATAACCGTTGTAGCCGTAATACTGAAACATCTTGAGGGCCACTCGACGGCTCTCTGGTCCCAGATCCTGGCCCCAGTGGTTGAACAAGGACGAGTCGGCAAAAGATCGATCTTCTTGATTGTCGTCTCCTTTCAGCGGGGACTCTGTGAGGGTCAGACAGAGAGATTGTTGGCGTTCCCTTCATAGTCAAACATGTCAGAGTCTTAAAAATAACACTGAGTCCATTTACATGCACAGTCTTAAACCGATTGTGCTCAACAACCCAACAAGGGTTCAACTGGTGTTCTATTTTCAGTTAAACCCTCTGTGGAAAAAAGTGCTTAGTCATATCGAGCTATTAAAATCATACAAGTATCATTTAAAAAAACTGTACAAATAATATAACAATAACACAGTAATATTTGCAACTCTGTATATATATATAGGGAATGACATTGTTAGTGGTCATTTTAAAGCAAAAAAAAAGTATCTCTAAAATTGGACTAATCTGGGGTGCGTTTCCCGTACAACATGGCAACAACACAAACCAAACTATTCCAGTCTCAGCTACAGTGTTTGTGGGAAGCCAATGTAGACCATAGGCTGGCATTATGCAAATTTGTTGCATTGTTACGTAGGTATGTGACATGAAGTGAGACTGTAATTGCTGATGAATCAATTCAGGCCATTCAGAATCAATTAGTTCTTTTATGGGACTCTTACTTTATTTTGGCGTCACACCATTCAGAAGAACTATAACGAAAACGTCTCAGGTTACGACTGTAACCTATGTTCCCTGTTGAGTTCCCTTCGAAAGGGAACTATATTAGCGGTTCCCTTAAAGGTGCAGTGTGTAATTTTTAGTGACATCAAGCGGTTCGGTTGCGAGTTTGCACTAAGGGCTCCGCCCACTGCTCACCCCTCCCTTTCGAAGAAGCTACAGTGGGTAAAACGGGACAAACATATCGTCATCTGAAACAGCAGAGAATAGCCAGAGTAATGCCTGGTTCAGATTACACAATTTTAGCCCGATTTTGGCACGACGTTTGACGTCCGTTTGACGTAGGGTGTCGTGGGTATTCGTAAACGACAACGGGTGTCGGGACGCAAGATTCGATCGTATCTTCTCGTATAGTGTGTCATAGACATCACGACATCACGACAAAAAGACTTAGCATGTTTAATTTTTTTTAACGGCCGTCCACGACGGTTCCGTCACATGTATGAGGTTGACCAATAGGAGCACAAGCTTTTCCGTACACAACTTTCAAAAATGGCGAAAAGAAAGAGAGACGATGGTGCTAACGTTAAACTTAAAAATATATAAGAAAACAATATTTTACCTCAAGTTCTCTTTGGAGGACTGTCCTCTTCGAGCAGGGCTCTCAAGTCTCACGCAATGGCCGCGAGACACACGCAATTCAACCAGTTCAAAGGCTCACACGCCACACCGTGTGTTTCTTACGCTGAAAAGGCAATGCCAAGCAATCCAGGAACGTGTCCATTGTCGGGTTTTCTTTCTTTTTTTTACTTTTTTTCTAAACACAGGACAGCCAATACAACACTCACCGCTTCATCCATTGTTTGTTTACGTTCGTTTCCGGAAGTCACTCGCTACTAGTTTCGCCTTCTCGATGACATCAGTAGTCTGTCCACGACACAACAAGATTTTAGAAGTCAAAATCGCGTAATCTGACACAGTGACTATCGTAACAGACAAAAAAATCGTGTAATCTGAACCAGGCATAAGCCAAGAGTGTGTAACATTGTCACTGTTTCTGAACCACAGTCCATTATAAACCACATCATGGATAAAGTTTGCAAAGCCATAGTCAGGTGAGGGTGAGGATATATATAATATAATAATAGTAATCAGCTGAATGAAACTGTTTGTTCGCATTCGGCTACGGTAGAAACATGACGTCACGATATGCCGACTTTCATAGCCTGCGGTTATGTACTGTAGATATAAATGTCTCATTCTAAGGTAATAAAAACATAACGGTTCATTGAGTAAGGTCTTTAGACACCACTCAACACATAGTTATGGATCTTATATTGCATTTATGTCAATAGATCCTCAGAAATATTACACATTGCACCTTTAATGCACAATAACGTTCTATTTATGAAAATTCTCAAGTTCTTGAAGCAGGATTGATTCTGATTGGCTGTCAATGTTTTCATCATTCATCCAATGGAAACAAATAATGATTCTGAAAGTAATCCCAACGATGTTGTTTCTCTGTGCCAGTACCGTTATACTTGTGGTTTGGAATCTGCTATTCTTTTACATTTAGAAAGGTTTTTAGAAATTGGTGTGAATGGCCTTTATACTCACTCATGCCTCTTATTACAACTCAAGTCCCTATTTCAAATAATGTTCACACTCCTTAAAAACAGCCCTTCTGCGATATTTCAGGCTGTGGGAACTGACCGCAAGAGGATAGGTGGAATGGGGAAGTGGCATTGTTGGGAGCAACAGCATTGCAACCTGGACCTGTGTGAAATCATGACTACAGAGTCCCCAGTCAGAAAACTGATACTGAAGGGGTCAGTCTGGATCACTGACTGAATCAAATACGGCTCTGTTGGATACTGGCTACCAAGAGGGCGAACACCCACCCAAACGGCAGCTCTGAATAAACACTGGAGCCGTGCTGCTAACACGCCACACATTGCAGAGTGTTTTAAGCACTAGCGCAGGAATGGGATTTATTAGACCCTATGCACAAACGAGCAACAAGGACTGCTGAGATGGAATATCAATAGTCTGTATTTCTGCTTGCTGATTGAAAATGAATTCTGTTTCATGTATTTCACTTTTACCAATTTTTCATATTAAGGCCTATTGATATATTTCACTTCTTAAGACATTATAAAAGGGATCTCAAAATCAATCTCACATGACCTGGGGATGCAAGACAAGGGGTGTTCTCAACAAATACAAGTGCTTTTACAACCATGAATTGAACTATATGCAGCTATTGGTGGAGTTAGTTGTAGAAACATGGACAGGCCTTTGTCAAACATAACAAATGCAGAAAATCAAAAATGATTTGTAGCTACTCTATCCTGGGGGCCAAAAGTTTAAAAGGGATACTCCAACCAAAATCATATTTTGGCACCATAGACCTCAATGGTGCCAAACAACTGTTTGGTTCCAATCTTTCTTCAAAATATCTCCCTTTGTGTTCAGCAGAAGAAAGAAACTCATACAGGATTGCGACAACTTGAGGGTGAGTAAATGATGGCAGAATTTTCATTTTTGGGTGGAGTATCCCTTTAAGACCCCTGAAGGTTGTACAGTAGCACTTAGATACCATCCATAACACTATTATCCCTTGTGAAAAAGAAGATGACTTTATCATACTTTCAAGAGTACTTGCTTTCACTTTATTTTAATGGTCCCTTTAACACATTAAAGTGTTATCCAAGAGTGGATGTGTCTTTATGTCATCCATCTCTCTTCTAAAGTCTTCAAATCTCCCTCTTAAGGCCTGTTCACACCGGGAATTTTGTACTGTACACGTTATTTGCCGCCGTTTAACGCCTCGTGACTAAACAAAGGGCGCCAATGTGAGAGTGCACACCGACGCGTAAAACGGCAAACGTAAAAAAAAAAACGTTTAAAAAAATGCCTCTGGTTCGTTTTTTTTAGTTTGACGCAGCGCGTCAAAAACTATCCGACCAATGAGATTGGCGCTTTTGCTCACGTGTTTGGAGCTTCTGAAGTTACAGTAAAACACAACTTGGGGGCGCTCAAACACAAAGCGGTCTTGCCGAGCACGCATACGCAACGGCGAAGAAGATATACGCCAAGTAGCGTCGCCGTCTACACAGCCAGGAAGAAATAAGACGAGGAAGATGCAAGGCAAGATCGTAGAGCTGCTGAAACATAAAGAACAATATGACAAGCGTGACAGGGACTACAAACATCTTGATAAAAGAAAACTGATATGAACTGGTATTGCAGAGCAAATTGGCGCCATCTAATGTCAGGGAATGTATTTGCATGTTCACTCGGCTCATCGTCAGCGAAAATTGCTTCGGAACACAAAAAACACGTAGAAAAACGCTAGCGAATAACGCACACTGATATTTGTCCTGGTGTGTACGGGCCTTTATTCAGTCTCTCTCTACATGTTAGTTAGTTAGTTAGTTAGTTAGTTAGTTAGTTAGTTAGTTAGTTAGTTAGTTAGTTAGTAAAAACATAGCGTCGATTACACAATCATGCGTCAAATTCATTATGAACACAAACATAGACATTTTACCCAATCCTGATCACATTACACAAAACAAAACATCCAGCACAGGGAATGTATTTGCATGTTCACTCGGCTCATCGTCAGCGAAAATCGCTTAGGAACACAAAAAAACGCGTTGAAAAACGCTAGCGAATAACACACACTGATATTTGTCCTGGTGTGTACGGGCCTTTACTCAGTCTCTCTCTACATGTTAGTTAGTTAGTTAGTAAAAACATAGCGTCGATTACACAATCATGCGTCAAATTCATTATGAACACAAACATAGACATTTTACCCAATCCTGGTCACATTACACAAAACAAAACATCCTGCACAGGGAATGTATTTGCATGTTCACTCGGCTCATCGTCAGCGAAAATTGCTTCGGAACACAAAAAAACGCGTAGAAAAACGCTAGCGAATAACGCACACTGATATTTGTCCTGGTGTGTACGGGCCTTTACTCAGTCTCTCTCTACTAGTTAGTTAGTTAGTTAGTTAGTTAGTTAGTTAGTAAAAACATAGCATCGATTACACAATCATGCGTCAAATTCATTATGAACACAAACATAGACATTTTACCCAATCCTGATCACATTACACAAAACAAAACATCCAGCACAGGGAATGTATTTGCATGTTCACTCGGCTCATCGTCAGCGAAAATCGCTTAGGAACACAAAAAAACGCGTTGAAAAAAGCTAGCGAATAACACACACTGATATTTGTCCTGGTGTGTACGGGCCTTTACTCAGTCTCTCTCTACATGTTAGTTAGTTAGTTAGTTAGTTAGTTAGTTAGTTAGTTAGTTAGTTAGTTAGTTAGTTAGTTAGTAAAAACATAGCGTCGATTACACAATCAAGGGTTAAATTCATTATAAACACTAACATAGACATTTTACCCAATCCTGATCA